TCGTCAACGAGATTTTACTAAAGAATTCGATAGAACAGAGATGATGCGTATTCGACATATTTTTTCAATGAGTTGTTATAAAGAACCACTTGACTTAATATCTCAAAGTATTCAATCAGTTGCAGATCAAACTGAAGTACAACAAGTAACAATGGTTATCGCATTTGAACAACGAACACCGGATAAAGAAGAAAAATGTAAGTTTTTAGAAGAAAAATTTGGTGATTGTGGATTTGAACGTATGATATTTACAATTCATCCTTCTGGTGTACCTAATGAAATACCGGGAAAATGTTCAAATTCAAATTATGGTATTCGTATGGCCGTTCAACAAATGGCAATTGAAGAGAAAGACGCAGATAATGTATTAGTTACAACATGTGATACTGATTCAAAATTTCATCCTCAATATGTAGCTGCATTAACTTATAAATATTTAAAGGATGGAAAACCAGCATTAACTACACTTTATCAATCACCTTTAATTTATAATTGGAAATTAGATAGTTTATCAGTTGTGACTCGTGTTACTGGTTTATTAAGAAGTCTTTTAATGTTAGGTGCATTAATTCCATTTAATATAAATACAATGAGTATTTATTCATATTCACTAAGTCTTGGAAAGAAAGGAAATTATGTTCATCCTGCATATCAAATGGAAGATATTATTTGTCTTATACGTTGGATGGGTATTACAGGACAACGATTAAAAATATCATTAGTACCTGTACCTGTATTAAGTGGTCCAACAAGTGGAGAAACAGTTGAAACGGAAGTTATGGAGTGGGCAAGACAAGCTCGTCGTTGGACAATCGGAGCAGCAGAAGTATTTCATTATTTTATTATTAAATCAAGACGAATACCAGCAATGGCTGCAGGGTTTTGGGGTGTTACTTTTATTATTTATTATGGAATTTTATTATGCACAGGTGATTTATATGGTCTCACATCTATGTTATCTATGTTATTAATTGTTAAAGATGTACCTGTAATTATTAAGTATATAATGTATGGTATGTTAGGTATACAAATGTTAACATTTCTAATTGCATTTATTATTGATGGATTTATTGCAAAATTATTAAACATTCAAGAATGCATTTTTATTGTACGAAATTTTTACCATTTTCTTGCAACACCATTTGTTCTATTAGCATATTCCTTCGTAGAACTTTATGCATTACATGAAGTTCTTATATTTGGAAAAAAAGTATGCAAACATGGTGCATCAGCAAAAGTGGTACTTTAAAATATTCGTTTTGTTTTTTTACATACTTAAATTTTTGATATTTAAATTCAATAAAAATTATTTTTCTAATTAACTTTATGTTCTATTTTTAAATATAAACGAAAACAATAATCATTTACAATTAAAACCGAGAAATGACTAAAGTATTGATATCATATACAGTCTTCTTTTGTACAACATATCATATTAAGATAATATATATATATATTCCTATTGTTAATCAATGATCATAGTCAAAAACAAAACTATTCAGTTTTTTTTGTATGCCGTAATAGCAAATAAACTAATGCTCACTATTCAGTACGATACTCTATTGATAATACAGATAAAATATCTTCTCTTTCCTTTGTATTCATTCATATTATACATGCATCAATAATTTTAAGCAAAATAAAACGTGTTTTTTTTCAATCCTTTTCGTTCTCTTGTTATCATCATCATTCTTCAATAAACAACAATCATACTGGGTATGAATATTACTGTACGATACTGGACAATTCTAATAATTTTATTGGCATTTATTGCAATGACATGGGCTGGACAACAATCTCGATTTCATGATGATGATTTTCAAGAGGCTAAAATAACTGCTCGACAATTTTTGAATATTTTACAATCAAAACGGTGGAAAAACGTCGGTGACTTAGAAGAACTAGCCGAAGAAGCTAATAAACTAGCAAATGATGAACAGATATGTTTCTTATATTCTATATTTTTTTCGAAAACTACATAATTGTTGTTTTATTTATAAGGGAAAGGAACAACGATCACTCAGGTATTGATTTTCATTAGATAAAGAACTATTTGAAAAAACAAATTTTTATTATTAACATTAATAAATATCTCATTGACTATAGTTATTTATATTTCTTTTAATTGCTTATTCTATAAATAAAGGTATTATCATACATAATGGTTTTGATTTATGATGAAAAAAACAGCTCTTTACAAAATATTTGTGTTTTTGAAGGTTATTATATTATTCGACTTCGGGACAACGATCGATTGATTGATGATTATCTTAATTTTCTTAATGTTATGAATAACTCCGTATGTTTAATTGCGATGGAGAAAATAACTCAACCGAGAAATATCTATTGATTTAAACAAAAAAAGACGATGAAAAATTAATCTTTGGATCTGTTTCAGAGTTTGGTATCAATTTAGACTTAAATAAAAATGAATTTATACAATAGCGATAATAACTAGAGATGTTCATAGAAAAACAAAAAAGTTCAATTTTACAGTTTTTTTTGCAAAAATTACACAGACTGGCAAGTGGATACAAAAATATCTTTTAATTTATTCTTAATTGTTTTTTTAAAACAACATCGAGCTTTTTCTTTCACTGTTTTTCTGCTTGTCTAGAACGTTATCCGAGTAAATTGTTTTTCATGCAAAATAATTTGTCTAATTTGCGTTTGTGTCAGACGAAGCTTCTAACGGAAGTCTAGCAAATTAAAATAGATAATTCATCGAATTTAATCTTTTTATACCATTGTAATATATTCATTTTCAACATAATTGCACAAATCTTTTTTTTCTTGTATTATTTTTTTAACTGTTTTCTTTTTCTGTCTACTTATTACGGTTGTAAACTCGTTGAACAGTTATAACACTCTTTCTTGTCATAAATAAGACTAGACGACAAAAGAAAATTCAACGCGAGTTGATTACAATCAAATGGGAAATAAAAGTAGTAAAACTTATCATACAATAGGTAAATTCTTTTTGAAATTGTTTGGACAAATTGATGAAGTTCATCTTAATTTATTTGATTAGATATATCACAACCAAGCAAAAACAAACATTCTTATAAGCTTTATTCTCCTCAAATATCAATTAAACCAATTGTAAAAATTACAGCTGTGCCCAAGGAAAATTTAAGATCTGTTTCATTTTGTGATACTACTACAAGTGATTGTTGAATATATGTTGTATATATCTCTAAATCCGATCGTAAAATTTCTTATAAAATAAAAAAAAGAACTTTTTTTAGGTGTTAGAACATCTACATGTTATAAGTATTTTTATTTTGTACAAGATTTTTAAATTCAATTTATAACAATTAAATTAAGATAAGCTTTGTTTACGTACATATATTGTATTTTTGAATTTTAACTGTTTTAAGTGGGTTTAAAGAAGAGAAGCGGAATAATAAACATTCTTAAGGACTGCTCGAGTGTCATTAGTAGCAGTAGCGATTGTGATTTTGTAATGCTTTATTTGCTTGTATTTTGAGATATATTGAGAGGTGATTAGCCGTTATGCAGCGCTTGAAAGACTCTATCTTCCAGCGGTAGAGACTTCTTTCTTCATTAACATTACATAAGGAAAGATAAATTTTTCGTTTTGTCAAATTTCACAAAAAAGCTCATTTTTGTAGTAGTGGTTTTTGATATTTGGAAAAGTTTATACATGACGATCGAAAATAACTCTTTTTTATCTCATATTATGTTGTGTTGAAGTATATATAAATAGCACAGCGTAGGATAACATTGGAAGCTAAATCCTGGTTTTCTTTCAAGTGAAATGAGTAAAATAAACCAAATTATAATCGCTTTGCATTCAGTTAAAGGAATCTGTTGTTAGTTGACGATAATAATTGGCTCAAATAGGTTACATTGTGTACTATAATAAAGTGCTCACTTATTTGTAGGGAAGAAAGACTTATTTACTCGTTTTTTCATAATAAAACTAACGAAAATAATCCAAGTTTTCAACAAAAAAAATAGATTTAGAATGTTAGTCGTGCTGGCATTTTTCCTACTTCTACTTTATATATTCTTGTAGAGAATTTTACAAAGTATCTCTTGGTAATAAAATGTTATGAGATCGTATGAAGATACAATTAAAAAATAAGAGTTGGCTCTTTTTGTCTCGACCACCCATCAGTAAAATATCGAGAAAGTGGTGATTCAATGCAAGACAAAATAGAGTCTGGAATTTTGATATAAACTATTCATTGACATTTGCAAATTAATTCTGATATAAGAATCATATACTTATATATTGAAATCTTGACTAGTTAAATACATAGTTAGAATTCAAAGAACAACAAGTTGAAAAAAAACGAACAACTACACAAAATATATGACTTTAATGTTTTTATTATTGACGAGGTGAAGTATTATTTTTAGTAGTGGATTGTGTTTTATCTGAATTCGATGGTGACGTTCTACCACTCATCTAAATAAGAAAAAGAAAATAGATTTTCATGATAATTATTCAATTTTTAATTTACAAATTTTCGTTTGGATTCAATCATTCGTGTATTTTTTGCAAAATAATCCGGTTCTTGTTCTCGTCTTGTTTGTCTTTTTTTCATATTTAACCATTCATCATAGAACATACTTTCAAATACTGGAACAAGTTCACATGCTCGTGGTAAATCAGATAAATGAATACGCATAAAATCAAATGAAATACAAACATTATCCGGTCGTTTTGTTTGTTTTTTATCACTATCTTCTTCATCTTTTCTTTCAGATAGAAATGGAATTTTAGCATAACGTTGTGAAAAATGCCATAAAATTGTATATTTCGCATTCATTCGACGACCAACATCAATTGCTTGAGCCATTGTACAATGACGCATTTGTGATGCATATACTTCCAAACCTGTTTCAAATGTTGCTTCATGAATAAGAACATCAACATTTTGACCTAAATTTAAAGGAATAAACAATAAAGACTTTATCTCCAAAACGCCGTTTATTATTAAGCGTGAATGGGTTACAATCGCGGTTCCCGATTGAGCGTTTAAACGCGTTTTTCCAATTTTTTGTCTGCTTGGGTAGTTTTATTTAGGACAAAAATTTAATTCAACATTAATTATGAAGAAAAATCTTTTGCTTCTATTCTGTATATATCTTATCTAACCTGCTTGAATAAAATCATTTGATTGTTTACAATCACCACTAAACGCTAATGACCAGCCATCAATATGTCGAAGAACCAATGCATGTGCATCATAGATATGTTCAACAAGTACTGTTTGCACTCCATGTAATCCAATTGATTTAAATTTTTCAAAAAGAAATTTTTCTTCATTTGTATTTTCACCTCCGATATTTGTTAATGATGGTAAACCATTTGTTAATGTTCGATTAAAAATAACATGAACATCATCATCAAATGAATTTTTATTCGAAAAATAATTCCATTGTTTTTCTCCAACATCAATATATTTATTAGGACAAAGTAATATTAATTTTTCATATTTATGTCCAAGATTTTCGAATGCACGTCGACGTTGTTGAATTAAACCATATAAACCACCGAGATGATCAGCGTGCATATGAGATATATATGCAAAATGTATACGAGATAGAATATCATCAGATTGATCACCATAAAAATGACGAATTTGACCAACTGTACCTTCTGCACAATCGAGAAGAAATAGATTTGTATCACTAATATTAAAAAATTAATAAAAAACAAAAACGATTTTTATTTAAACTACTTTATATGAATTAATATGCCACTTGTATTTCGTGGTTTACTTGGACAAGCAGAACCTGTACCAAGAAAGATAATCTCAGGATATCTATATAGATATTCGAAATAATTGAATAGAATGGAAAAATGAAAGAATTGTTTTCTTTACGAGTGTCCTGTTTTAGCAATTTCATGCATAGCTTGTAATTGTTGTTTTGCCGCTGTAAATGTTTGTTTAAATTCTTCATTCTCAAGTAATGTATCAATATAATTTTGTGGTTGTAGAACAACTAATTTGGAATTATCTGGTCCGAGAATTGGACGTATTGGTATACGAGTGCTTGTCAAACCATAAGTAATATTATCAACAGATTCTGGCAGTTTTAATTCCTAAATATAAAAATCAAGTGAATTTTTTGTATTAGAAAAGTAAACCATCTACTTCTTTTAAACTATTATGATAACTAAGTAAAGGAAATATTCCATCATCAATATAATTTAATTGTGTTTGATAACGATAAATTGCTTCAATATGAACATTTTTTTGTGTTTCATCAAGAAATAAATGATGTGTAGTTTTTATACTAGAAAATTCATAGAGATTTATTTACATGAAAAAATAGTTTTGACCAACCAATAAACCTTTTCATCCATGAACGATATGTTTCATTATTCAATATTGAATGTGGAGCAAGATGAACAATTGTATGATACGAATGAGAATTTAAATCACTTTTAATGATAGAATCAAGATAATTCAATGAAGGACATTCAAGTACTAAATTCAATAAAATCAGTGCAACTAACTTTACAATAGAAAGAATTATATAATCGCTTGTGAATTAACATTCTAAAACATCGTTAATCTAGACTTTCGTTAAAATTTATTAATAGATTTTTCATGTGATGATATTCTGAATCATCAATCGTAATAGTTTGTCGAAAATCTGTCCAATTATTTGCTGATGGAAATCAGTGAGCTCGAGAGTTACGCATTTTTTCTCCTTGTATAATATGTAAGTGTTCAATATTAATGAGAATAAATCGGTGGGTGGATGCATGTAAGAGCGAGTGTGGGAGTGCGCGTAGACAGAAGATAAATTCAATATTTACACGCATATCCACACATACACCCACACTCAAATGACTAAGAATAAATGAGAATGAGAATGTCATAGGTTAATGTAAAACAAAAAGTGAAAAAATCAGAACTGATCGCAAAGATAACTATCACTATAATGAATAATATTTCTCTCTACTTGAAATTAGTCAGTGACCTCTATAATGACTACCCATTCTAGAAGAGTCATACACGAAATAATTATTGAAATTGATAAAAAGCATCTGAATAATAATCTAATTTTCAACTTGATAGAAAAATTTCAGTCATTCACTATAAAACAAAGAATCGATGTTATTACATACTTAAAACTTTAACAGGTGGTTCACCAGGTAAAGTTACATCTTTTGATAGAATCTAAATCAAAAACTTTTCTAGATTATCTTCTTTTAAAATTATTTGCACATACTACACGACCATCAGGTAATGTAATATCTTCACCATTCTTCAATCGAGATCGAAGTTCAGAACTAAAAAAAAATGATAATAAGACATCGTTTGTCAATTAAATTATTCTTACGGTGGTACACCATGAAAAGCACATAGTTCCGCTGATAGACTACCAGGAAATGGATGTGTCTAAATATAGAAATTTATACAAAAATTTCAAATGTATTCTATACTAACTTCACAGAGATAAGCATAAACAAGATCTTCGGGAAATTTTTTCATTTGAGATAAATCATTTCCAGTATTTGAAATAGAATTATTTGCTCGTAATGCAATTGCATTAATTTTAAAACAATCATCTTTAAATTCTGCTTTATCATAATCATGTTGTTCTAAATAAATAAATTAATTAATTGTCTTAATTAATATATTCTTACCAAGAGTAACATTTGGAAATGCTTCTAAACCTTTCCAATGTTTTAATAGATCAATCTAAAAATTAGATTTAAATATTCAGAAAAAAACAAAGAAATACCTTTGTAAAATTTTAATTTACCACATCACATGGTGCATGAAATGTTATTTCATTTAAATATGTTTCCTTTAAACTAATACATAAACCTAATAAACCACCCATTGTATCCCAAGATTTTTTCGTCACAAATATATGTTTCGTTTTAGAAAATTTCGTTTCCCATATTGTATTTTTTTCTTGTAAAGTACGTTGAGTACCTTCGCCACAGTTGAATAAATAATTTGTTTGATCATTACTTAATATTAATGATTTACATGTACCAACATAACCATTCGAAATAACTTGAAGATTAATACGTGACGTTAGACCTGGATCACGACCGCGTTCTTTCATTCGAACATGTCTAGGTTTATTAATTGTTGATGATTCACTTTTAAGTTTTTTTGCGGATGACATTCCACGAATAAAATCAGCAATATCAATAGACGATGATGATGACGCAAGACGAATTTGTGTTCGATATAGTAGAGTTTTTATTATAGAAGTTGATAACATGAGATATATAATATCGTTCTCATCTGTAAAATAAATTAGATAAATCACATATATGTATGATTTTATACTTTATTTAATTATTTTGTTTTTTCTCGAACGTCTAATCATGATAGTACAACTGAATGAGATAAAAATCAAATCAATTTATTAATTAAAGAAGATCTGAATTTCGCTTTTTTTTTTTTATTTCCTTTCCCTTTAAAATCCATCGATGTATTGATTGGTAAAATATAGTCTTTTATGGTTATCAGTAGATGTCATATGAAGATGATGAGAAATATATATTTTTTATTATTTTTCATTATAATATAGCAAGTTTATTATGACATCATATTCTTTCTACATTGCCGTCTCCCATTTATTATATATCATGTTTTATTCAACATTGAAGCTTGAAACGTATTGTTTCGTTTTGCATGATTGATTTTGTTAGCTGTTTTTATTCGTTCTCTTTGCATATTTTAACCATAGACCAAAGCGTGTTATTACCTTTCTCATTCAATACAAGCAAGATAAAACAGTAATCAACAACGAATATAACCGCAGCTAGCTTTTTCTAAATATGGTGTTTCAATACATCGATATTGCGGCGACACCAGTTAGTCTCGTAGTTCATTCATTTCTTGGTTTAGTATGTCTGACGATTCTGTTCGGTTTCTATGGTACTCTATTGACTACATGTCGATTTCTTCGTTATGGTCGAAAACGATTTTTTAAGAAATTTGATCGACCTAAACCACCAGCGAAAGCATTAGATCGACTTTCTGGAAAGCATGAAATGATTAAGTTAAAAGTATCTATTTGTTCTTCACTGAAATTTTTTCGTTTAAATCTAAATTATTTTAGTCATCTGGTGTAACACTTCATTATGTATCAAAAGGTGTACCAAATCAACATATGATTTTATTTCTTCATGGCTTTCCTGAATGTTGGTATTCATGGCGAAATCAAATGAAATATTTTTCAAAAGATTATCGAGTTGTTGCTGTTGATCAACGTGGTTATGGTCTTAGTTCCAAACCAGCTTTTATTGTTGATTATAAAATGGAAACATTAGCTGGTGATATTGCTGATCTCATTGAACAACTTGGTTTGAATCATCAATTTTGTCTTTCAAGAAATTAATATAACTCTTTTTTTTTTAGGTTATGAATCATGCATTTTAGTCGGTCATGACATAGGTGGTTTTGTTGCATGGACAACTGCAATGCTGTAAGTGTCATGAATAATATCTTCTTATTTTCCTTTTTCGTTTTAATTCAATAGTTATCCGCATTTGGTCGAAAAATTAATTGTCATGAATTGTCCACATCCACTTGCTTTTCGTCAAGAATTATCATTTAGCCAAATGCAACGATCATGGTTAAAATAATATTTTTCTTAATTATTAATTATTGATATTTTTAATTATAGGTTTATGTTCTTCGCTCAAACTATGATTGTTCCTGAGCTATATTTTGAAGCTGATGATTTTGCATTTATTAAAAGTGCTTTTCGTAAGAAATCAACTGGATTAGTCAATCAAGATTATGTTACAGATGATGATATTGAAGTATTTAAATATACATTTTCTCAACCAGGTAAAATTTCAATGAAAAAGAATATATAAAATTATTATTTTGTTTTGTTGTATTTTAAATTAGAAACAACAAAATCAGCAATTAATTATTATCGTGCTTTTCTTCGTTATCAAAGTGATTATTCACGAGCTGAAGTTGTTGCACCAGTTTTAATGTTATGGGGTTCTCGAGATCATGTATTCGATATGGACCTTGCTGATGCCAGTCAAAAATATTGTTCGGATGTTCGATTAAAAAAGATTCAAAATGGTTCACATTGGATTAATCAAGATATGCCTGATGTCGTTAATAAATATATGGAAATTTTTCTTAACGAACAACCAATTGTTGAAATTCCACCTGAATACTAAAATAAACATTTTACTTTTTTTCTTCTTTTTCTCATTCTTTTTAATTTATTTCATTATTCTAATAAAATTAGGTGTAGTAGAATTCTTTTTCAAACATATTGAAGATATTAACCTTGAAAATATCGATGTACTATTTATAATATCAGGGGGTAGTAATCAATAGAAAGAATAGGATGTATTGTGGAGTATAGGAATGCAAATAAATATATTATCATTAGATGATAACATCATTTCTAGTATGTTGTTCCGAACTGCACTTATTATATTAGTATTATGTTGTGTCTTTGGTATGTATATTTAGAAGGTAATATCGTTTTTATATTGATTTTTTTTGTTTAATTAGTGTTTAATGAATTAAATAAAAATAATGGCGATACTTCAATAAAAACAATAGGATCGAAACAACATAATATTGATAAAAATAAAAAGAAATTAATAAAAGGAAAGCGTAAGTAGTTATTTTTAATTAATTTAATATTCTGTGATTGATTTTAATAGCATCATTTTGCAAATTATCTCGAGATATGGGTCCATGTCGAGCAGCAAAGCATCGGTTTTATTATGATTCGACAATAAATGAATGTAAATGCTTTACTTATGGTGGATGTCGAGGAAATCAAAATAATTTTCGATCATTACATAAATGTCAAAAAACATGTAAAGTGTGAATGAACTCTAGTCCCTTTTTTTCAATAAAAATAAATAATTAGACTATTTCTTGAGTCAAACATATTTCTATGTCAAATGAATATATATATATACATACAAAATATATTATCTAACTTATAATACAAAAAAAAAAGAATAATTAATCTAATTGTTGATCTATGTGCGATGATGGATAATAATTCAAAAATGTCATTGCTGTTTCATCATCATCAAATTTCAATTTTTTACATTTATTTTCAAATGGTAATGTAATTGAAGTTGCTTTTACTTTTAAATATTTTAAATCAAAATTGATGATATCTGGTCGAATATTAATTTCTTTCGATTTTTGTTCATATTCATCAAGTAATTCCTATATCGATAATAAAATTATTCTATAATTATTTATTTAAATATTTTACTTGAGAACGATAGATAATTAATTTATCTTTTTCTAACATTCGTATCATATTTAATGCTGCTAATGTTTCAATAACATCACAAGTTGAAATTGATGTTACTTTACTAATATCTATTAATAGATAAAACAAAAAATTGTTTTTATCAATTCTATTTAGAAAGGAGGTGATCGAAAATCATGACTTTTAACACACGCTAGAAGCATCATAAAACGAAAGTCCTTCTCATCTGGAGCACGAATCTGACATCTGTTTATCTACATCTGATCTTTTTTTCAGTGGTTTCCATGGGGAGCTAGTGCTGAGTAGTTTCATGGGATGTCAAACACAAAGTATTTTGAAGAAATATGACATAGCAGGTTTTGTAGAGATCTTATATTTTATAAGAAAAAGATGGGATTTAAACTATTTTACCGTATTTTACTATGTTTTTTATTTTGACGATAGTGTTGTCATTTCTCATTCTTATACGAAAATGATCAGCGAAAAAAACTCTATAAAGATTGGGGGAAAAGAAAACTTTGTCTTTAAAACCCCATGGAACTACCCTACTGAGACCCAGGTACCTCCCTACGGCGAAAACGGAAAGAAAAGGATCAGACTTAGACGAATAGATATCCGATTCGTATTATGACATTTCTAGCGTGTGTTAAAAGTCATGATTTTTCGATCACCCTCTTTAATACAAACCATTTATTGCAATTTGTTCATCAGTTGTTTTTGTTAATAGATAATCAAATATTTTCGATTTCCAATATTTTCTATAACATAATAATCCTTGTGTTGATAGAGGACGTTCAGGTGTACCCGTATGTATATTAGCCAAATGACTAAGTGCATAACCTAATTAATTTTTATTAGAAATAAATAGACATGAAATTTTCAACTTACTTATATGAATCATTAAACTTCCAAAACCACGATTACGATACGGTGGTAAAATAAGTAAACATGATAAATTAAGTCTTTCTTGAAATTGTAATTTAGAAAAAAATCCAGCAAAATGATATTGATTATCATCATGAGAAACAGTCAATACATAAAATCGAAAACGATGAACATTCTTTATTTCGACTTTACTTTCAATAAAAAGAGTAGCTATTAAACATAAATCTTCACAATAAGTTTGTGCTTTCCATCCAAGTACTTCAAAAAGATTTACATCATTTTGACTATAAATTAAACAACCAGGTGGACGAGTTTGCGAACATTTTGTCTAAAACGAAAAAGAAATATTCAATTTCAATATAAATTAAGTCTTTACTCGATGTCGCCTAGCAGATGTTCCATGAATGGTTGTTTTTAAACAACATTCACATACATAAAGTTTATCTACTTGAAGCCATTCTTTAGGACATAATGTTGAACGACATACTGTTTCAAATTCATATCGACTTGTTTGTATCCATGGACGATTTTTATTTGTAGTAGATGTATTAGTTATCTTACTAGTATCATTCGTCATGATCTAGAATAAGAACTTATTTGATATACCGAAAATATGATGAGATAGATTTTATTTGTAATTATCCCGCATTGATCAAAATCAAAAAAAAAAGAACTTGTAATACTCAACAATATTTATTTACAAATACAATAACACAAAAACAAAAATTTTCATATTATGATCCTTTAAATTTCTTTCTTATTGATGTTGAATTATTAGTCAATGTATTTAGTTTATTATCTTCTTCATCTTCTTTTTCTTCTAATTCAATCCATTTATGTTTTAAATTACTTTCACCAAAATGTTTCAATGATGCCAGACGTTCCAGTTCTTCATCATTAATAATACGTTTTAATTCAGCTAAATGTCGATGTGATGATATATGTAAAAGTGGACGAAGATGTTCGATGATATATTTTGATTGTTGATCATAATCATTCTGTGCTCGTAAACAAGATAATGTTGATGAATAAGCAAGACATTCCATTGCACGTAATTGAGCACGTTTTTGACGACGAGATGACATTGACAAATTGGTTTTTTTATTTATCTAAAATCATTACGTAGAAAAACATTCATTCGATTTTTTATTATTTAACTATTAGAAAAAAAAACAAGACAAAATACAAATAGAAATATCTGCTGAAAACTAGAATATGTTCATTATGTCTGTAAAACAGCAGATCAGTTAAGATTAATTATTATTTGATGAACGTTGAGCTTGGCAAACACCAGCTAGAATAACCAAAATCCATGTGACAGCAGCAAGAATGAAGTAAAGCTAGAAAGATTAGTAAATAAATCAATAAAAGTAAATTTAAACATACAAAATTGACCCAACAACGAGCTTGCCGTCGAGAAAGATTAGTAAAATCCAACATTTTTATCTTAAAATAGACGAAAATTTAAATTTGATTAGTTCTCTTGACAACTATAACACAATATCCGATTTTACATCATTCAAATGAACCAATAGACAATTCAATGGTTCAAACGTATAAAGAAAATGTTTCTTAGCAACATTAGATGTCATTAATTTGAATTAATTAAAAATTTTCTACAATTTTTTAAGAAAAACTTGTTTTGATAATAATTATAAAAAAATTTCGTACAGTAACTTTTAATCGATTGGTTTACGTTCTTTCTCGAAGAGAAATGATTCATCCTTTTTCTGATTGGATCATTTTTATAGCGATCAAATGAGTCATAAAATCGGATGAAATTCACATATATATAAATACCTCGTTAACCGAAGATTGAACCTTTCATTTCCATCATTCAACATGTCGCTTAAACTTGAGTTACAACATAAATTGAAAGAAATCGGTTATGAACTTGGTCCATTTGCATCAAAAGATACATTATCTGTTGTATTATGTCTTCATTCACTAGTAAGAAAAAAATCCGATTTTATTTTATTCAATCATATTTTTCTTAGGTTATGGAAGAGAAAAATATCAATGTTGCGAAATTAAATGATCTTGATATTCGGAAACAATTAACACAACATGGTTTACTTGTTGGACCTGTTACGAGTAAGAATTTTTAATAAATTTCATATCAATATTTATTAGTTTTCTTTAGATCAAACTCGAGCAATTTATCAACGTAAATTACTTGAAATATTAACTAATCGAACAACAGAAGGTAAATGAAAATTTAGTTTTTTTTGCTATTTAAAAACTATTGTTTTTCTGTGTTATAGGACAAGAAGATGAATTTGATACGGATGAACCAATTCTTCCTACTGAGTATAATAAACAAGAAAAGAATTCTCTCTATCCAAATTTATCCAGTATAAAAACAAATTCATATTCAAAAAAAGTTGAACCATCAGTTATACGACATGATTATAAAGCTACGAAAGATACATCAACACGAAATATCTATAGGTAAAGATTTATTTATTCAAAAAAATTATGATTTAAATGTTTTATTTAATAGAGATACAAATGAAATTCGATCACGTATATCAACAAAAATAAATGATGTTGAAAAGAATATTGATAATAATGTAAAAATTGCGAAAAAAAGTAAGTATTAGGGACAGAAATATAAAATAATGAAACTTTGTTTTTTTATTTAGATAATAATACAATTCTTTATGCTGGTATAACATTATTTGTTGCATTAATCGTTTTTATTGGTTATTCATGGTTTGAAAAATGATCTAAAGTGTTGTTTTTGTTTTGTTTATATATTATATCTAGTGATTGTATTAGAGTGTTTACTACTGTTTTTATTTTATAATTGTTGAATCAAGAAAATAAATTATTAGATAATAACGTTTATATTTTATCATTCAGCGATTGTATTAAATTTCAATCGTTAAAAGAACAACGTGTTAGGCAAGGCTTTTGTGATTCGTATAAGAAAAACACAATATTATTTTGTTCAGTAAATATTTATGTTAATAGTTCAGTTCATGTATATGGATTTGTTTTTCTTTAATATTCTCTAAGATATTATATTTCACTTTTTCTTCTATTCTTGTCAATAGTACTACAAATATAAACGGCTGCATGTGATGACTACTCATTTGTGTGGCACCATATTGTTGTAAAAAGAAGAAAAAAGAAGTAAGACAAATATAGATTTAAGAAATGAAGTAGAAAATGAGGATAAAAACAAAGTACGAGCTAGAACATAAGAGGAACGTACTTTTTTCAAGGTAGAAAAGAAATCCTTTTAAAGGGTACGATAAGTGACATTATCAAGTATAAAAATACTTATTCATCAATAACATATTAAACCAGATACAAATTACAACAGATATACAACGGAAGTGAGAAGCTCTATCAAAACAAAAGAACAACCGTATTTTTTTTCTGCAGGAAATAACATGGTAGATTTATCTAATTTTCCATATCCAGCTTATGAACCAAACAAAATAGTGGCTGGTATTCTTGCTGCTATTATTGGCATTTCATTATTTCTATGGATTATACAATCAATCCAATCACATTTTAGACCACGTCGAGTTATTATTCTTTTGCTCATTTCTCATTTAACTCTTTTTATTGAACTTATACTTCGTGCTACTCTTTCGCTTGATACTCGTAATACAAGAGCTGCTTTTACAGTAACAACAATTCTTCTTGCCGTTGGTCAACGTATGATTATTTTAGCTAATTATGATTTTCTTACTCAAACTGGTACTTTGGGCTCTCGTGTTTCTCGAACTATCACCATAGGATCAGGTTTAGCTATTGTTAGTTCAGCAATTCTCATAGCTACCGCTGGAATATTGTCATATAATACCGATACAATTGATACAAGTTTTCAATTACGACAAGCATCAGCTGCAATTGTTCTTATTATGACCATTATCTTCTATCCTATTTGGTTTCTAATTAAAACAGTGAAACATATGACGAAACAAGCTATTTTTGTTCTATTTATCTCTAGTATTACTAGTTTAATTGTTACTATTTATCTGATGATCATATCATGTCCATATTATTATGTTAGCACAAATCAGCAAGAATTTTGGTTCTATATATTTCACTTCACACCTATGGCTATTGCATTAATTATATGGACAATCTTACATCCGAAGCGAACTTTGATATTAACTACTCAACAACAAAAAGATATTAAACCTGTTATTAACGATAATCTATAAACAGCAATTATATTTGTATTCTATTTGAAATGTTAAAACATATTTTAATTCAAAAATAAACTCAACAAAATATCTTTCATAGTTCTATAAAACTATAGAGAATATTGTGTAATCTTGGAGGTGGTGTAGATTTGAGTGTTATTATATCTGTGTTTCTGAATTTAGTCACATCATCATTTTAGTGTATTTATTAAATTATCAAACGAAGTAAAAATTTGATTTGTTTAATAAAGAAGTAATTTGACATTTTAGAAAACAAATTATTTTAATTCACAAATTTATTTTTCTAATAATTAAACGACAATTTAGAATTTTTTATCATGAAACATTGATTCGTGATACTAATATGAATTTATTTTATATTTTGCGACAAAAAATTCTATTTACAATTAAATAAATCATTATTTAGTTTTCGAGATATTTTCCAAAATCTTTTGACATGGAATATTTTATTATAATTAGATTACTAAAATCAATTTTTATATTTCTAATAATCTTCCCAATATGTATTTTAATAATTATTCATAATAGAATATAATATACCGAATTACTTTCAATCAATCTTAAATAATAAATATTCTTCATCATATTTTTTTAATAAAGTTTGGAGAGAAATTCAGTCATAAAGTTTGGTGTGAGTGCCAGGTGAATACAGTATCCATATCCACACTCACACTCATCCATAACCACGTCCTGACGAAGTATCTTATGAAGATACAAAATGTCATTAGTTTTGCTAAATAAATTGTTAATATCGAAGCTAATAAAATAAGAGTATTGCTCAATGTCAAAAAAGGACTGACACTTAATTCTTATTTGAGTTTATGATACGATAACTGTTTTTATTTAAATCTGAAATCTGTTTCAGTCTCTGGCAACTCTTTAATGTAAGTTAACTGTAAAACACAATGGTCACACCAAAAAAGTCTGAAACTTGATAATACATAAAAACATAAATTTTTAACTTCGAATAGTGATCGTTTTATAGAATGTTTGCGTGTTTAATTTTCATTGCCGTCTACCCAAACTCCTGTCTTCGTTGTTCCATTAGCGAATGTGAATACACCGGCGCCATGTTCTTTATTGTCTTTCCATCTACCAACATGTTTGTTGCCGTTAGACCAGAAATAGCTACCGTGACCGTGTCGATTCCCGTTTTTGTATTCACCTTCATATCGTTCACCACTTTTCCATGTAAAAATACCTTGACCTTCATAAGTATTGTTCGCCCAGTTTCCTTTATATCTATGACCATCATTCGTGTACTTAATTCCTTGCCCACAGATGTTGTTATCTTTCCATGCACCGACATACTTATCACCATTCGTCCAATAGTGAATGCCATGTCCTGTTCGAACGTCGTTCTGCCACTGTCCTTCGTATCTATCACCGTTTTGAAATATGAGGACACCTTGTCCGTGTCTTTTATCATTCTCCCAGTAGCCATCGTACGTATTTCCGTCTGCATAATGCTTCACACCGTGACCATGCCTACATCCATCTTTCCACTCTCCATCATACCTAGAAATGGAGAAAATCAAGATTTCAACAATCAAGACTTTTTTGTCATCAGAAAACTATCACTCAGTAAATACATATTCCAGGGAAATAATCTTAGATTCCAGAAAAACATTTCTGTGAAAGAAGTACAAGCAAACTTAAAATTTAGGCACATCACTTATAATCGCCTTTAATCACTAATATTAGATTTAATGATTTGCATGCAATATCGAATTTTTTCTAACTTTTCGACACTGAAGGTTTGACGATATCGTTTCCGTGAAATACATCAAAGATCAAGAAAGTGAGTTTTGTACAAAACCGTCTCTTAATTAGTCCCTGAAGGTGGCATTTGCTTTACAAACATAAATCTGAAAGCGATCAGCTGATTTTGCCTATATCACGCCTAAGAACCAGTCACTTGTCCGCGTTAATTCATAATTACTTTGTGCCAAGCATTGTGTTTCACAATCTTCAGTTGTTCTTGGCTTCTCGTGATAGGAAGCGATTTCGAAAAGCAGAAAGGATAGAAACATTTTTCGCTTTCTAACGTATATAATCAAGAGATATTTTAATCAGTGAAGCATGATGGTAAGAAGTGGCTAGCGTACCTTTAGAATCTTTATAGTCGGCATGGATTTATCGATCTCAAATTCTTATCTTCCTCCAGAGTCTCTCAATGAGGGTTGTCGCATGATGAGGACTTTTTGAGAAAGAGCTTGGAATTTCTGTCATCTACCATATGTGAGAGGCGTGCTGCAAAACGAGATTCTCTATTCAAGATCTCAGACATCTTTAATCGTATACTATTGTAATTTTTATGGAAGAGCATTTCGATTGAAGTTCTTTGATGCACGATGTATAACTTATCCGAAGTTTTTATCTGCCACCAAACCGCAGGACTGACAGACAAACGTAAGGAAAAGGTTATACAGAACTCTCCGACAATTTTTTTATTTCCATGCTAACGTTTGATCTTACCTACTACCGTTTGACCAACTGTATACGCCATGTCCCATTCGAATATCTTTTTCCCAATGTCCTTGATATCGATCGCCACTTTTCCACGTCAAAATACCCTGCCCATTTCTTTCATTATCCTTCCAGTTTCCTTCATATACAGCACCATCTGCATAATACATTACGCCAGAACCGTTTCTTGTACCATCTTTCCACTCTCCGTCATAAGTATTGCCATTGGCGGAGACACATTTTCCATGATTATGTCGCAAACCATTTCGAAATCCACCTTCATACTGACCGCCGCTTGCCCATATAAGTGTGCCATTTCCTTCTTGGTTGTTATTTATCCAGTCACCTACATATTTATCGCCATTACTGAAAAAGTAAGTACCACGGCCATGTTTCGCCCCTTTCTTGAATGCTCCTTCATATCGTGAACCATGTGACCACCAATAAACACCCTGGCCGTCTTCGAGGCCTTGATTATTTAATTGTCCTGTATATTTGTCACCTCCCGTAAAGTTGATTGTTTTGTTTTGACGTACCGAACTCGAGTTTGTTGTTACAACAGAAGAGCTCAAAGCTAAACTTTCCGCGTTTGTGACGTTTGTATTAGAGGAAACACCTTCACGGAAAAGAAAATATATCATTGTATGATCATGGGAAAAGGAAAATTATATCGGTTAGCACATGCGAACATTTTATTCAACACCAACTACGTTGCTGGGGTATGGGCTCAAAAAAACATAAACCTGCACCCATATATACTCACACCTATACCTCCAAGATGGGGAAATATCAACTCGTAACGGTGGATTTACCGGGCTTTCGTAACCCGAAAGCCCTGTCATGTTTTTTCAACAGGGCTTTCGTACCTGAGTTTAACTGGGCTTTCGTATCGATTTTGACAGGGCTTTCGTATCGAGTTTTAACGGGGCTTTTATACCGGAGTTTAACAGGGTTTTCGCATCAGTTTTAACAGGGCATTCGTAACGAATTTTTTATTGCATTGATACGTAAGCTAAAAGACTAATACTCCATAAGAAAACAAGGTATTCGTTGCGAATACTCTTGAGAGTATATATATATATATATGTATATATGTTTAGTTAGTAAGTACGATCCATCCGTAACGAATAGAAAGTCTTTTTGTTGTTGTGTTATTTCTTGTTCTTCATATCTTCTTTGTGTTGTTAGGAAATAAATTTTAAAAAAAGATTGAGATGTATTCATTTATATTCTGGTTCTTTCTTGCTACTCTTGAACTTTGTTCATGGTTACTTTGAGAAAATACTTACATCAATACGAAAACTCTGTTAATAGTATTTAATTTGAGATAATATTAACATTTTTGGCTTTACGATAACCCTGTACGAGCGGTACGAAGACCCTGCAAAAAACGATACGAAGGTCCTGTAGAATTTATAGGTACACTTTGTCAATGCGATACGAAAGCCTGTATATTTGTGATACGAAAGCCCTGTCAAAACTGATACGATATCCCTGTAAAATCGATAAAAAAGTGCATTAATTTTTGATTACGAAAGCCCTGTCAGTAAAGCGATACGAAAGCCCAGTAAAACTTAAAAAAACACTGGGCTTTCGTAACCGACCGTTACGAGTTGATACTTTCTCCTCCAAGATGTACATACTATGCTTAAAATGAATGGTTCTTTTGCTCTTGGAGGGATCAATGGGGCCAGTACGACAGAACGCCTACGTTAGGGAAAATTTTTCTCGATGAAGTAGAAGCTTATAGGAATGACCACTGAGTCTAGGCCCTACAAGTGCTAAAATTTCCATGTTAAACTGTAGGAATTTTTTAACAGGAGAAAACCGCCGAAAAACAACATTCGTGCTGTGGGACATGTTCGAAAAAGTGTAAATTGAGAAAAAACGAAAAGCATTTTCCGTTTTTTCTGGAAAAGTTATTTTTTTAAGTAGGTGATGGAAATCATCAAAACTCCCGTCACAAAACAAGGTATTGGATTAAAAATTATATCCTTTCACAAAGATCTAAAGGCGAGCTATCTTCTCATGCACTTATCTCAATTTCAAAATTTTTCACAAAAACTGACATTTTTTGAGAGGCCTTAAGTAACACATGTTGACAGACAAAAATTTGAACGCTCTACAAGATAATGAATTTACTTTTTCATTTGGTTTCATTCTTTAAGAAAAGTATATTATATACGATGACTCATACACAAACTGAGCTTTTTGAACTTCTGATGCGTTTATCTTACGAGGGAACCTCACCAACTGATTAGGGGTAGGACAGTTCATAGTTCCAAGTTCGGATGAACTGATCAAAAGAACTACCAGTTCAGTTCTTCTGAAAGGAACTGAACTGAACTAACAGTTCTTTAAATAGAACTGAACTGTATCAACAGTTCTTTCAGAAGAACTGGTCTGTTTCAAATTTGTTTTTATTTCCAAAAAAATAGTTTTCACAACAGTTCTCTGAAAAGAACTGAACTGAAATAATAGTTCTTTGAAAGGAACTGAACTGAAATAATAGTTCTTTGAAAGGAACTGAACTTGTCGGTACAGTTCAGTTCTATTCAAAGAACTGTTGGTTCAGTTCAGTTCTATTCAAAAGAACTGTTAATACAGTTCCTAAGAACGAAACTAATATGGAACTGTCCTCCCCTACAACTGATACACTCAGTTTGTGATCATATTGGGCCCTCAAGCAGGTC